CACACACACACACACACACACACACACACACACACACACACACACATTATTTGTATTTTTTACATGAAAGGCAGTTGTCTTTGTTCTCACTTCACTGTTGTCTCATTCATCACGTCCTCTCTATCTTCCTCTATTGTCTTTTTGTCCTTTCAATTGTTTCTCTCTTTTTTTGTCTTTCCCCATTTGTGTCAGTCAGTGCAAACATATTTTCTAAGAAAACAGACAGATTCAGAAGGCGACAGTGTTCAGAGAAGGACCGAGTGTGTTTCTGTTCATGTCTGAAGTAAACCCGGAGCCAGATTGGCTGCCAGTTGGTGTGTCCTCAGATCTGCAGCAGGGCTCACTTTGTCTTCTTACTGAATCTTCATTACACCATTAAACCACTAATGGAGTTTTATTTTTGAAATATTCAACCATCTAATGGACAAACCTGAGAGATGCATGAGAAGGTTTTGGAAATCCTGATGATGTGAGGACTTGGCAGAACATAAAMCAGAGATATAAAGTTTCATTTTATTTTGAAGGGTCAAATAACTCACTAGCTGCTTTTAGAGTCAAACTCAAAGGAAATTGGTGATCTTTTAAGATGAAAATGTGCAAATTTTACAGCTCCACATTTTGAAGAACTGCTGTTTCAGTCATAATACCTTAAAGCTGAGATTAGTTTAGACATTTTTATTTCCTYGCTCAGGTGTAAACAAATTATTTGTTACAGCAGCTTGTTTTATATGTTAAATATATTTTATGACAATTTGTCTTTAAGTGGGTTTTTGGTTTGGTCTTATAGCAACAATCAAATTGATTAATCAGGTGATTTTATTGGTTGGTGTTGGAAATACCGTCTTAAAAACTGAACTGGTCACTGCTCCACAAAGTAAAACAAACAGTTTAGCTTCATAAGACACTTAAAAAACAAATAAATTAGTGTCTAAACTGCTGATTTCTAAATGTTCCCTTATGATACTTTATCTGTGGAATAATCTATAAAAAACTATTAAAGGTACTATGAATCAACTTTGTATTAATCTAAACTAAAAACAAATATATACAATATGTTGAAAACTGTGAAGTTCAAAGAAAACCAAAATCTGTCACTCCCTGACAGTCAAACTAACTAGAGACAGATCTAAACAGACTGAAAACCTGCTGCCTACATTACCCACAATGCCACCTGACTGTTCAGACACAGCTTCAAGCTCATTTTCACTTGTTGCTATACTTCAGCAAAAATAAAAACAAACAACAACAACTCTCCTCTTTGCTTTGGACTTTATTCATAAACTTCATTTACCAATTCTTAGTGYATTCCCGGCCTATAAGTTCAGTAAAACCTGCGATGGACGCCTGTCAGATGTTTTGTTTGGATGTTGGATGGAGACAAAAAAAGGCCTCTTGGGAGTGAGGCGAGACAAAAACGCAGTCAGCCCGGACGTCTGTCGTGTCCACACAGAGACAGTTTAAAGGCGTAAGGCTGTCCAGTTCTCTCTCGGGTGGGCGTCAAATTGTTTTGCACGCACTCTTGAGTCGTTTCTCTCTCTTCTTTTTTTTTTTTTGAACTCCTCGCAGAGAAGAGAGTCAATAGAAATACCAATAAATACAAACACAGTCACAAAGCAGCTCCATGAAGGAGCTGTTAGTAAAATTCTCATTTCTATCTTTTTGTCTTTGTTGATAAAGTAATTCAGTAAAGCTTTTTACGACCATAAAACTTTCCATTTCTCGTATTTTTTTGTACATTTGCTTATGTATTCACAAAAACTACTTTGACATTTGACAAACATTTAGCTTAAATGACATCAAAGTAAARAAAAAAGAAAAAGAAAGGGACAGCCATTGATTTGTACGTCTTTTTCTTTTTTCTTTTCTTGTTTTTTTTGTTGTGCTTTTTGTTTGTTTTCAAAGCTACATCCATGAAGAAATCTGCACAAACGGAGCGTGTTGTTGGAATATGCTTACAGCAACAAGCCTCAGAGTCATTAATCTACAGACCTGATTGGTTTAATGTGAAGCTAGTTATCCTCTGACTGCTGCAGCCTCTTTTATGATAATGAGTTAGCACAGCAGGACAAAAACAAGATGGCAAACCGGCGCCTCGGAGAGAGGAGACCGTGAGGAGGAGGAGACCGATCCCTCGAGAGACCCGTGGGTGACGAGACTCGGCCCCTGGCAGCCATGGAGACGGGCCTGCTGGTGCCTCTCCTCGCTGCTGATCTACCTCCTCTGGGAAACCAGGAGACACAAAAACAGAGCAGAGAGACGCAAAGAGTCTTYGCCTTGACTGAACTAAAACCTGTGTCAGAAGAGTCAAAGCGGAGGGCAGGACAAGAGCTTTTGACTCAGAACTTCTGATCATTTCTGTCACTTTTTTTTCTTTTTTTTCTACAGTATTTGCTATCCAATCCTTTATGTTTAGGACACTGATATTTCAGTACTAATTCCCCAGCTTACAGAAGTAGAAAAAGGTCATTCTCTGTTTAGAGAGAAGTATCACTCAGTATSAAAACAAAAAGAGATCCCAGCAGCCAGGCTCCTAAAAAAAGACTCCACACCCATGTAGCAACAGCTATGAAGATAAATTAGCTTTAAATCTTCCTGCATCTCCTCTAACACAGTAGAGCTTTACTGGGGCTGATTATGGCCTACTTCTCCTTCCCCTGCAGCCTCCATGTATCACGCCGGTCTCTCCAACTCATGGTGCCGTCTCTCCAGAGTGCCACTGACACACTTAGGTCCTCGTCTACCTCCTAACAGGTCAAAGAAATAAATTGGGAAGGGCTTTTTTTCCCCCGTGGCATTTTTTTTCTGATTTGATTTTCAAATTCCATCTTTAACCAAAGTAGGCGGTGAGCCTAAGAAAGGTACCTCGTCTACTGTTGTGATTACAGTCGCCACCTTCTGTGTTTACAAAGCTGAGGGTAGCTAGAATAGAGGGTACGAGCCAACGTTTTAGTGGCAGCATGCCATGACAGAAAGCAGTAGAGCAGATATAATCCCTGTCCCGAACATATGAAGGAACTCTCCGGAGCCACACGTCTCATGCAGGAGGTGGGCTCGCACAGGAGGAATAAGGAGCCGGGTTTCATTATGACATTAAAGACGAAGGGAAATTGAGGTCATGCTTTCACATTCTACCCATCCAACCTCCTGCAGAACAGAACAGGCAGATTTCAACCTGCAGAGAAGCTATTAGAAAAACGATATTCGCATCACCAAAATGATTCAGCTTCACAAGTCACAAGAGAAGCAGCGGCAGAGTTTGACAGCTGGTAATGGATATAAACAAACCATTCTGTCAGTAGTAATGTCGCTAGATTTTTTTAAATTTTATTTATTTTTTTGTCAAGCATGGATGCTTTCTCTATCCACATGATAAAATGTAAGCAGGAGAAATTTCAGATAGCTCTCCCCGGTTAAAGCACAGTAAAGCTGAGTGCTCCATCGTTGTGGTTTGGACAGATTGTGATTGGTTTCCCTGCACTAACGCTGTTCAGAGTCTTCCTCGGTGTCCAAATGTAGCCTGGGAAGCTTAAGCATTAACGGTAAAAGGTTGGACCTTCTTCAGGGAAAGTGTTTCTCGCCACAAAACTTTAGAGTGGCTCTCCATCCAGCCACCGACAGTTGATAGACCTCACGTGTCATTTGTTTTGTTTTTTTGTTTTTATTTTCTCGTCGTGACATCAGTAAAAGGAGAGCCGAGCGGGTCGGCAGGAGGGAGGAGCCTCGACGTTCTCGTCAACATCAACACAACACCGGGAGGGGCTTCGGACGACAGCTTCAAGACACTTATTTCCACAACAACACAYCCAATAATGACAGGAACTGCTTGAGAATTTTGCGTCTTTGCTGCTTACACTCTATAAACAAATCGGTTGTTTACCTCYGAGTGTAACAGCGAATGAAAAACCTTAAATAAGAATTAAAAACACTTGATTTAGCCCTTGAATTKAAAGAACAGTCTAGAAACTGAGAAACATGGCATCCGGGATGGAGAGGTTTGACAGAAATAATAAATTAAGCACAGAAGCAGGTTTTGTTTCTCTCTTTCTGATGGTGTTTTTTTTTCCTGCCAGTCTGTCCAGAGTCTGGATAAAGGGGCCTGAGTGAGCCCTGTTTTCTTAGGATTTACAATCAAATTGGGTTGTGGTCTTGATATGTGTCTCACACACCCCATTCACTGTGGCTTGCTTTAACTTTAAAACGCACACACACACAAACACCCCTGGCCTCCTGCCGGTGTGGCCGAGCTTCCCGACCGGAAAATATTCTCCTGGAGAGTTTGAAAAAAGACGGAGAGAAAGAAGGCAGAGAGAAATAAGAGAGCGAGATACTAAACGTAGCTTCTGCTCTAAAACATTTAGTAAATCACGCACAAGTCCGTTGTTCGTTCGAATGTTTCGAAGCTCCGTTTTCACTCCAGCACAATGACGGTTTCTATGAGTATAATACAGCATCGTCTTGGTTTTTATGGTTTAACTAAGAGACAGGAGCTGCGGCACCTGAGGGAGAAATCAAAAGAGAGAAAGAAAGGAGGAAGAGGAAGTAGCTGACAGTTTTTGATATGTGCCTCGCTTGTGTGTCACCAGGTGGGTGGTTGTCTCTCTTCTKTCTGTGCTGCTGTCTGGAGTCAAACGAGGAGGAGAGGAGCCAGAGAAAGGGAGCGGGTCGGAGTAGGGTTGTTCCGGGGGTCAAAGGTGGGAGGGGTCAGGAGGTTGTGAAGGGTCAGCCCTGGGTCTCCTTGCCGCTCTCTCGATCCCGCTGACCACTCTTGCTCATCTTCATCTCTGTCAGCTGGATGTATCGCAGCACGTTGGTGTCTGTGACGAAGATGAGGAAACAGAAATGAGCAGGACCGTCTCCATCATCTTTATGCAGTTAAACGTCTGCTGTCCTTTTTCAACTTTACTTTACAAAATACTCAAGTGTTTTCATTTGTTACTCAATAAAGCCCTACAACTTTCCCAATGCAACATGACATTATGATTTAAAATACTGCCTCAACAAGACAAATTGCACAAAATGTCCTGAAAAAGATGACTGTCTTGATAGATGAATTACTGAAGTAGCACAACAATTCTCATCATTATTTCCWTATCAAACTATATCTTATTTTCAACACCGATAATGAGTCAAGTCAGAGTCATGTCTATTTAAACAAAAGCCCCTGACTGATTTTTCACCTGTGGGTTCGCGGTTCTTGGCGTCACGCAGGTAGCGTAACGCACATTCGTAATCACCCAGGTGATAGAAGGCGATGCCGGCTCGATACATGGCCTTGAAGTGGTCTCTCTGGTGGCTCAGCACCTTCAGACAGTACTCCTTCACTCGCTCGTAGTTTACCAACTCGGACTGTAAGAGGCAAGCTGCAGGAGGAAGACAAGAAGCAAATAAATCCTTTGTTAAAAAGTTAAACATAAACACAACTGACGGAAGGTGCAGACAACAGGTTCATCTTGTTTTAAAAAAGGATTCGTGATATTCTGCTGACATCTCACTCTGTGCCTTTAATAGAGCTACAGTGAAATTTAGCCCTCACCGTACATCCTCCTTGTAGCAGTGAGCAGACTATAAATAGTCAGGTCTAAAGTCGCACACTGTTGAGAAAAGACAAAAACATTATGCAMGAATTTTGAGCCCTTGGGCAGAAGACTGGTGTTTCTTTTAATGAAAGAATTTTCTAAGCTTGTCAGTAGAACGGGTGAAACAGCGGCCACAAAACAACGAGAGGAGAGAGGGCGACTATCAGAGAACAGATAATATTGGAACATACAGATATAAGGTGTGCATTGCACTGTAGATATTGATCTTGCGTGTTGCACAAGCAATTGTCAGCAGTTCTTAGACCAGCTCAGGTCAGAATAACTTCATTAGCAACGACACACAAGCAAAATTACACACACGTACACACAGCTTTTAGTCCATCAAAGCTTTTAAACGCTGGCTGATGGCTCAGATATCTGATCACTTACTGGTTTCTCTGCTGATCACAACCCTTACAAGCTTTTACCCCCTCTATGCCAGTTAGRAGACATCAAAACAATTTCCCTCTATCGCTCCTTGTCCCTCCACACAACAATCTTYCACAGTAATTCAACCCGTCCTTATCTTTTTTTTATTATCTTTTTTGCCCGTYCAACTCTGCCCTTGATTCAGGCTTTTCTGTGATTAATGTGAGCGTTAGCTGAGAGGCAGGGTGAGTCAGGGGTGAGAGGCAGAGAGAGGAGAAGCGGGGATGAAGGAGGTGTTTGTGTGGGAGGCTCGGGTTAAAGCAGGGAGAGGAGGTGACACTTGTGGAGGCAACAAAGAGGACGACAAAGAATGTGGAATGTGAGGAGCACATCGTCACAGGAGGAGAAGAGTCGAGTCTTTTATCAATTGTAATTGTAATCTTAATGCAAAACCATTAACAAGGCAGCTTTAAAACACTAAATACTTAATTGTGAACATAAATTCAGTATCATTTACTGTAAGTTAGCTAATATCTCTTTGRGAATACCCTAGTTGGTGCTCATACCACTTTATGGGTGTGAAAGTCTAAAGAAAAAACTTTGAAAGACCTTCAGAAAACCTGAACAAATATTGATCAAGACCACGAAAGGCAAAATATTGTACAAAGAAAAAAGGGATGATTTAATACTTTTGCACAGCTTTGTTTCTGACACCAAATATATTTGATTGAAACAACTGCATAAGTACTTAATGACAACACAAACAATAAATTTGTGCTACTTTACCTTTTTAATGACTATTAATGTTTTTTTTGTAACATATCTAATATAAATCTGGTCTGGTATTGACCATCTAAGGATATACCAATGCATGAATGCTTGTTCAAATTCAAACACTGTTTAATAATAAATGAAAAAAAAAACCTGACAGCCTCTTATCTTCCGTGAGGCCCATGACTCAGCACAGAGGCCAACAGGAAGGTCAAAGCTGTTTCCCCTCTTTAGTGAGCAGAAGTCAGATCAGTCTATTACAGCATGATTCACCTCGCACGCCTTCTGCCTCTAACACACACCTTTCCACACACACACTCATCTCTCCTTCCATTTGTTTTTACAACTGGACTCCTCTCGTTCCTGCACGCCCATCCATCCATCACCACCCCTCCAGCAGTGAGCGGGAGCTGAGCTTTCAGAGGATTCAGTTACAATCCATAATGGTTTAATGGCTGACTTTGAGGATTCACTGACGCACCAACATGGAGCATACAACAGCTACAAAATAACACAAACACAGCATGACTCAGGTGAAACAACTACCAGTGTAAACACGGGTTACAGGGTAAAATACATATTTGTAAACTGGACACAAATATACTCCAATAAACTAGCAGATGACTTAAGATGATTCTGGATTTWAAAAAAATGTGAGGGTACAAACACTGTGAACACAAGTGATGACTGGCCAGCCGCACCCAGTCGGCCCATTAGGCAGATGGATGGAATACCAGTGGAAATGTAGAGTGTGGTGAGATGCATTAAGGGGGTGATAATGACGAGATCATCAGAGCAGGCTTGTCAGGAATGCAGAAACAGGYCCAATAAAAATATCAGAGTGATTTCACTGGAGCCACACTGTCCTTCACTAAAGGACACGAGTCTGTCCTGTCTTTTATGGGGGGGGGGGGGGGGCAACGTCTCTACTCTTGACCTGCAATAAACTGCTGCACATAACTGCTGCAGTCTGTATGACCAAATCTGGCTCATATTGAATATTGTGCACTGGCTCTTTCAAACAGAGTAGTTTAGCAACCAAAAGAAACATACATTTAAATAAACTGTAACAACAAAATCAGCACATTACGTAGTTTTTTTGTATAGTATATAAAGTCATTACAAAGTCTCTGGGCAGTTTACACATTTGTATCACTTGGATCAATCACACATTTAGGAAAAAAAGAAAGTAATGAAGCCAGCAATGTGCTGAGACACTAAACCCTCAAGTTCCAACTTATAGCAAAAATAAATTTGGACACTTGTGTTTGGTAAATTACAGTATTTCTTTCTTGTAACAATGATTCTTAGAAATAAATCTTATACCGTTGGAAAGCCTGTTAATTTCCCTTTTTAAGTGGTGCCACATTTGTAAGGAACATGCATTTGTGGGATGAGCAGAGCTAAGTGTGTGAGTTGCAAACACAGAAAATTTGCCAAATCACTTGATTTTGCTGTTAGTATTGTTTTGAGCTTGTGGTACTCCCAGGTGCAGCCAAACAGGATGCTGCCAAGCCTGGTATGAGATTTATTAACAAGAAGCATTGTTACAACAAATAAATAATCTACCAATCACACATTTCCTTACTTTTTGTAAGTATATTTCAATTGACTAAATGTGCTGCAGGAGCCACAAAATGAAGTCCAAATCAACAAAAACCTACACAAAAAGTAWCAAACTCCAAAGTGGTTGGTTGGCTTGTGTTGTATGATTTGGTTTGTTTATGTTTTGTGGTCCTTGGTTTTATAGTTACTTGTGTTTTCCAATGTTCCTCTGTGCTGTCATTTTACTCTTCATTCACTCAGCTGGCCACGCCCCCTCCCTCCTGTTCCCTGTTGGCATTCAGCTCAGGTGTGTCCTGTTACTCATCAGCCCTGTTCTGTAGTTAATCTGTTCTTCTTCACTCTTCAGCAGTGCATTATTGACTCTTATGCCAGTCAGGTCACCCCACCTTATGTTCTTGTGCTCTTTGTGTGTGATTCCTTTGAGTTTAGTAAGTTTTGCCCGTCGTCAGCTTTATTTTTTTTAATGAATAATTTTATTAAAAGCTTCTCATATCTGTCTGTATTCTGGGTCCAGTCCTCCCGCCACCATGATGAGTTATGGCTCCTRCAACTGTGGTTCTGGTTTCTCTTTGTTGCGTCACGTTTTCAAGAAAAACCTAAATTCCCTCGACCTTTCATTCATATCAGTGGAAGATTAAGTGAATGGAGAGGTGAACAAAAGGTTATTACAGAACAAAATAATGTAGCTACATTTAGAACAAGAAAGTTACTGAACTGTGCAATTAAAAAAATCTTTTAACTCTAAACTTAACAAGCAAGGCACGAAAAAAAAACAAGTTAACTGAGCTGAAGTAAAGACGTGACTTTTCATTACAGTTAATTTCTCTACAACATCAGAACAGTCAGGGTTGGGTGATCTTTCACTTGATCTGAAGTTCTTACGCCTTTATTCTATTAGAAATAAATTTAGGATAAGAGGGTTTAAATGATGAGGCTGCACAAAGGAAACAAGTGATGCAGACAGGACAGATTTATCTTAATGAGGTTCTTCAAGTGACGACAGGAACAATAAAAAGGAGCTGAGGCTGCAGCGCTTTAGTCTCACTGCCAGGGGTGTTATACTGTATATTTTTATCTTTCTGCTCGATTCGAATGGGGGCAGATTGGGGAACATGGTGTGTATAAAATTAGAGAAATGGGAAACTTGTGTAACATTTGCAAAGACAGAAAATCCAAAAATCAAAGCAGCTGTGAGGTGTTTCCAGTGTTTAAAGTGTCAAGCCTTAAAAAGTCTGAAGTTAAGCTTTCGTTTAGCTGATCTAACACCAAAATCTGAGAGAACTAAAAAAGTAAAAGTGAGAGATAAAGCGGAACAGAGGTGATAAAGTCTCAGAAGTAAAAAAGAAAAAAACTGTTCACTTTCTGTCTGGAGTAAAAGTACATGCTTTAGCCTATTTGTTCATTGATTTCCTATTTGTCAGCCTTTTTTTAAACAATGTCTCTCCCTCTGGACTCATGTCCTTCCCTCTGCCTGAGTGTCTCCTCTCCTGTCACTCTTCATCATCGAGCTGGCTAATTTAAAGCCACTGGTGGCTCTGGTGATTAGTCTGCTGCCTATCACCTCGTAATTAGTTCTGCAGGAAGATAATGGCAGATGGAAAGACCGGTACTCTCACACATACARTCACGTTTCTGTCATGTCTCCCTGAACGCATCCTTGCTCTCTTCAACACAAAGTTCTCATCTCATCTTTTTCTCTCTTGTCTGCTTAGAATCTTTCAGTTCCTTCTCAAACTTTTACAGCTGCTGAATAAATTCCTCTACGGATTATAAATTGCTCAAATCATTTTGTACATTGTCTTATTTAGTGTTCTCATTTGTCTCATGTGGCGCTCTAAAGTTTAATAAGTTCTGGGACTTATAAAGCCATATTCATCTTATTTTCCTTTTTTATACTGTAGTAAGCTGTCAGACTCGCAATGCAAGACAAGACGAGTGCTTGACAAGTCAAGAGGAACTCGTACATCCCTCAAAATGTGACAYTTAAAATTAAGCCTTTTACTTATTAAAAAATGACTCAGTTATTTATAACACACACTCTATAGTTTGCTCCAGTTTTACTTTTTTTGACCTTAGTGGTTGGTTCTGACCACCGCAGACCAGAAGGTCAACATCAGCATTAACAACAGATCACACACTCCGTTATGTT